CAGTGAGCCTCAGGTGTGACTCTGCAGCATACCCCAAGCTTTGCTTAAACAGGTTTGAACTAGAACTAAATGGCTCTTGAAAAGAAAGGCAATGGGAAGAGAGATGGAGAAGAAAAGAGGGCACTTGGTAAAGGGCTGGGTTTCTTTATGCAGGGAGAGAGGAGAAACTGAAGAAGAGTGATTGTTGTTGACTACTTGGCTGTTTTAGATGGTTACATTCCTGTGAAGGCAAGTTTTTTTAATTCATGATATTTTTTGTGGGATTTGTGTTAACCTTTTTTTTAGTCTCCTATGCATTGAGACTTTTAGAATTGGTAGTAACTGATTGAATTTTTTGTTGTTTGAAGTGCTACTCTTCAGTTGAAAGCATGCACTGAACATTTTTTTAAAGAAAGCAGAGGAAAAGGTATTTTTGACAAACAAAGTGCACATAATTATCTTTTAATTTCCTTTTTTTTTTTCCTTTGTGATAGAGACTAAATTTGTCATTTCTCTATGGAATAATGCTTCCAATTTCTAGTTCAACTGAAAAATAATGTCTTTCTAATAATTTCAAATAGGATTTCAAGAAACTGATAAGGAAAAACAATGAGCAGCCTGGAGAGTATGAAGAAGAAACTAGGAATAAGAAGTTGGATATTTCTGGACCTAGGGCGCAGAAAGAAAAATGAAGCTTGTAACTCAGCAAGTAGCATCAATGTTATCCTGTGAGCCTGAAACCACTTTTTCTTAACCTTCATCCTCTAAGAAAAAAAAAAATCTAACATCTGTTCAGTATAGTAATCCCTGGAGTATCATTTTAGTAATTTTACTGACTGTATTTCTTTTATATGGGTCACTGAAATTTCCCTACCCTCTTCTGTCTTGCAAAGATGTAGAGGGCTTTAGGAATTGCTTCTAGAATACACTATTTTCCAATTATTAGTTCAGGAAATAAGATGGCTGTGAACTCTTGTGTTTGCTGAAATAAATAATCTTGCACTGTCCTTGTGAACACTTTTGTTGTTTTTTCCATTCACTTTAACAAAAAAAAAAAAAAAAAAGTTGAGTGGGTTGGTTTGAGTACCCTCTTATGTGCCATTAAATCTTTTGAATATCACATTCTTCTTCTTATCTTTTTCAGCTCTTCCTCTAGACAATGCAGAGAGTTCCTTTCTTAGCCAAAAACTACGGCATTATTTCCAGTTTCTCAGTGTTGTAAAAACTAAATTACATTATGTAACTCAAAACAAAAAACCCTTCACCCAGCAACAAATGATTAAACCAACTAATACACAGATAGAAATATCAATAGCTATCTTTACTACTGCTTTGATAGCTATTGCTTAATATAACATGCTGAATACTCTGGCTATGAATGTAAGTGTGATTTATCGAATGATTCCACTTATTCCATGCCCTTGTGTGTATATATAGTAAATATCAAGATTGGGACAGAACCTTAATTGGACACCAAAATCCATAATTTTCTCTCAATGTGTATTATTTGTCAGGCTGGCAAATTGAAAATTGTAGTATAAGAAATATATTAATATGCTTACTTGCAAAGTAATTCCTTTAGAAATGTGTATTTCTTCTGTATCACTGTCTAATTAGATAATTTGTTATTTGTTGTTGTAATGATTAATTTTAGAAATTTTCTTAGAATATCTGGGGCCATCTACCAATAAAAAGGAAGTTACTGTCTGTAACTAAGGCTAATTGAAAATCTGAATTTTTTTTAAAAAAACTTGTAATCTTTTCCACAGAAAATCTATTATTGAGAATATTCTCAGATCTGCAATATTCTGTGTCCTCAGGTTCCTTTTCTTCCTAGTGCTCACTATTCCTGACTGGGTTTCACTATGGAGAAGCCAGGAGGGAATACAACCATCTTGAGTACAAAGGATGCATCACAAGGGAACATGAGCTAACTGGGAAGACTTACCTACAAGGAGAATATAAACAGGAAATCTTCAAACTAGAAGCCCCATGTAATATCATGAGATATGTTTTAAAAACTTTTTGTAGTCCTTTGAAAATTTATCTCTCTCTTGCTCCTTTCTTCATAATACTTTGAGTAATTTTAAGTGGCAAATATGTTTTGTTTTGAATTCTACCATTGCCGTGAAAGCCCAACAATTCAAAAGTAGATCTCAAAGTGTTTTTCACTCTATGTTTTGGGCACTGTACCCTAAATATGCAAATTACAATTTTAATTCCCATTCCAGTTACTTCTAAACCATGTTATATGGCTGAAGAAGCGTGAATCCACTCTTCAAAGTGTTGAAAAAGACTTCAGGATAGGCAACATAAAACCTGTGCTATGTCACACCAATCCCTTCTCCAACCTTAGCAAATATTAAGTGTCACTGAGACAGAGGTAGTGGTGCTGAGGCAAGATGTTAGATGTAAAGAAGTTAGGCAGTGCTGTGGTCCTCTCTGAGATGCCTTTTGAGTAGTCTTCAAACGTGTGAGACAAATAGAAATTTAAAGATGCTTAAGCATGGTCCTCTATGCATGTTATGCATTTCCTCCCTACCTACTGTAAGTAGCCAAGAAATTCAGTTTTGAATATCTAGCTCTGCTTCACAGATTTCTCTTACTTGAAAAATGCAGTTGGAATTTTGTTTCTTCAAACCACAGTCTTCTCACAAGGATGTTTTAAAATTAAATATTTTTAAAAGCTTTTTACTTCTGAAAACTGAGGTTTTGCTATTTGTTGCCACCTTCTAAACTGTATTCTATCAAAAGGATGTTTGAATGTGCTTTTATCTGTCTGCTGCTTAACCCGTATTTTATCAATGCTAGATACTGCATGATTAGTAAAAAAGGCTTTAATATGCTCTAGTGAAAGAAGATAGAGTAGATCACAGCAGACTGACTGGCTAAAAGCCAGTTTGTTTTTAATCATCTGCTAAAGAAATACATTGCGGTTTTAGATGGTTACTGACATTTTCATATGAAAACATGTTTTGGTTAGAGTCGTTCTTTAGTTTTCAGATATAAATTGGGAAGTTTTCAAGTGGTTTCAACAGTAGCATTTGGTTTGAATAGGATCTCAAAATATGACTTTGGAATGTGCTAGAATGGAAAAATCTGGTGAAAAAGCAACTGAGAAAACATTTTAGGGAAAGGCCAGTCTGTGGAAATGAGTTCTTGTAGGGAGCCTTGTGCCTTGCCTTTATTCTTTTTCAGCAATAAGAGTTCAACACCCATAACATGGCATGGAAACCCTGCTCTTTGGACACATGGCTCCAAGTTGTTTCTGAATCTTTGCTGTCAGGCAGGCAGAGAGCATCCTTGCTCTGCATGTTACTCACCCTGCGAGGCACTGCTTTGCTTTCCTCTTGTAGGCTTTTTAACCACACTGTCTCTCACTCTTGTCTGCTAAATGACATGTTACTTACCATTTTCTGTAGTGTGCTTTGAGATTCACATCTAAAATGGCATGTAAAAGCTAGGTAGCGCTAATCTGTTCTGGCAGCTTGTTAAAGTGTGATGGTTTCAGTGATGCATTTGTAACCACTCTTAACATAAGATAAATGTGACAAGTGCTAATTCCAAACACCCACGTTGTTGAAACTGAGAACATCCTAGCTAAAGCACTTTGAATTTATTGAGGACATCTGAGGTCTATCATTACGGCAGCTCATGATGCTTTTACCTGAAAAATGAAAATGTTACATTAAAGATCCACGATTAAGACAAATGTTTTAAAAAGGGTTAGGGAAGAAATGCTATGCGTGTGTTTGAGATCTACAAACACTTTGTATTCTCTGGACAAAGTGAGGGGAACTATAGGGTAAGAATATGTTGAACTCTCCATGGGAAAAGGAATAAGCTAATACGCAAGCACCGAGACTTGTGCATTAGAACAACTTCAGTTTTGAGAGTCCCGTTCCATGAGATTTTCCTGATGGGTCTGTGTCACAGACACGAGAGGTGCCCGTGTAAGAAGGAGGCAAATCTGAGGTAGGCAGAGAAAACTGTTCTTCAGTTGATGTGTTATCAAAATGAAGTAAGTGATATCCTTTTGTGGCTTGAGTGGAAAGTTCTGTACAAACAGTGCTGAAAGATGACCCCCTCAATGTCCAGTGAAAACAATGGCATTTGCCAGGATTTTTGAATTCTGATTTAAAAAAGAGAGAGACAGAGAGAAAAAGAGAAACTGCATCATTCTCAACTGACTTTTACCTATGGGATTTCTGCATGGAAGATGGGAAAATAATGAAATGCCTGATGTCAAATTAGAAGAAAGTGCAAGATGTCAACCACTACTGAATAACTGAGCAAACAAGTACCTTGCTAGTGCTGGTGACCAAGAAGGTGAAATGTGCTTGTGGGACAGACAGTAGAAGATGCTTGGGATGGTGGTAATATCATGCAGCTGCAGAACTAACACAGGACAATGAAAGAAAAGAGAAAGATAAGAGATGTGTGAGTAGTCCGCAAACCAGAAGGCAGGCTCTCAGCTATACTGTTATGGATTTGGAGATAAAAATACAGTTAGGGCATTACAGTTGGAATCATCATCATCATGGCTGGACTTCACAAACGAAAATTTGGGAAGGGCTCTACCCACTTTCGTTGCAAGCGTGTTGGTGGCTGAAAAGGCCAATACGAGATAGGTATGTCCGGTTGCAAAAGGCACAGCAGAAAGACTCCTTAGGTGGTATATTCTGCAAGGCACCATTCTTTCTGCGTTGTCTTTTCTCCTCAAGAGTGATCCTGCGTGCTTTCTCAAAGGCATCAGCAGCGTTATAGATGGTGTGTCTCCAGGCCTCCTGATTGGAGGCCAGAGTAGACCAATTATGGTGGTCAATATGGCCCAGGCTGAGATGTTGTTTCAGGGAGTCCTTGTATCTTCTCTTCAGGGCTCCTCTCTTGCGGCAGCTGGTGGCAAGTTCACCATAAAGCAGGATCTTAGGGAGGCAGTGGTCCTTCATCCTGGAGAAGTGCCCTGCCCATCGCAGCTGTGTTCTCATCAACATGGCCTCAATACTTGTGACTGCTGCTTGTTCTAGAACAGATGTATTGGTCACATAATCTGACCAGTGAATGTTTAGGATTGTACGGAGGCAGCGTTGATGGAAGCGTTCTAGGAGTCGCAGGTGGTGGTGGTAGATGACCCATGATTCAGATCCATACAAGAGAGTAGACAGCACTATGGCTCTGTAAACGCTGATCTTGGTGCTTTTCTTCAGGTGTTTATTTTGCCAAACTCTTTTATGAAGTTTTCTGAAAGCACTGTATGCCTTTGCTAACCTGTTGTCTATCTCCCCATCAATCTTACCATCCAAGGAGATGAGGCTACCGAGGTAATTAAACTGCTGGACTGATTTGAGTTCTGACTGACCAATGGTGATGTGGGGATGATGGGGGACTTCCTGAGGTGCAGGTTGATGGAGAACTTCTGTCTTCTTTAGACTGACTTCCAGTCCAAAGAGCTCAGCAGCGTCTGCAAAGCAGGATGTTAAACGCTGCAGAGCTGCTTCTGTGTGGGCGACAAGGGCGGCATCATCAGCATAAAGCAGCTCCCGAATAAGGTGATTTAAGGTCTTAGTGTGGGCCTTCAGTCGCCTTAGGTTGAATAGGCTTCCATCAGTACGATATCTAATGTAGATACCATCCTGATCATTGAGATCTGCCGTGACCCTTTGGAGCATCATGCTGAAAAAGGCTGTGAATAGGGTTGAAGCGAGAATGCAGCCTTATTTCATGCCATTCTTTATTAGAAAGGGCTCAGAAAGTGTGTTGCCATATCTGACTTGGCCGTGCTGATCCTTGTGGAGTGAGATGATCATTTTGAGGAACTTGGGGGGACATCCTAAACGTTCCAAAATCTGCCACAGACCTCTTCTGCTCACAGTATCAAATGCCTTGGTGAGATCAACAAAGGTTACATAGAGACCTTTGTTCTGTTCCCTGCACTTCTCTTGCAGTTGTCTGAGAACAAATACCATGTCTGTGGTACTCCTGTTGGCTCTGAAACCGCACTGACTTTCAGGTAGAATTTCTTCAGCTATAGCGGGTATTAGCTGGAATAAAGTGCAAAGAAAGCTCTTTCTCACAGGAAAAGAAGGAAGGTTATACTGGGGATGTGTAAGTTACATCATCTGGGCATGTATTTCTGCAGGTACTGCAGAACCTCCTAAACAGTGAAATTGTGCAGAAAGTGGTATTCCTTTTCCATCATAAATCTTATACACTGATATTTTTCATCCCTCAGGAAGAAAAATATAAGAAGTCTCACTAAAAGGAGAGTGATTATGGTATTTTTTCCGTTGTTTTTTCTTAGTTGTTCTACTGTGAAGTGTTTTTCCAGAAATTGTTGTTGTCTGTGGATATCCAGACATAGAGAAAAGTTTCTGAATTCTAGACCATAAATAGTTTAAAGTTGTCTTCAGAGAGAATAACTACAGTGAGACAGTTAATGAACCTTTATCCTATTTGTCAAAATTTCATTGCCCTTGAAATATAGTTTATTTATCTATCTATCTTTCTTTCTATCTGTCTATATCTGTCTATCTATCTGCCTATCCATCTATCTATCTATCTATCTTCCCCTTTTTTCCCTTGCTCTTAACCTATGAAAATGTCCTAATAACAGTGTTTCTTTTCATAGAGAACTGTATTTTTGCTTTGCTGTTTTCTTATTCCTCTGAAGTATGTAATGCAGTTACTGTCTATATTTATAGCAATTTTCCCTGGTGCTGCAGCTACATCTTCCTTTGGTTTTTGTTCCTTCATGTGATATATGGTTTCCTTATGGAAGTTATAATGAGTTTATTTTCATGAATCACTAGAGATCAACCAGGCTAAACTCTCAACAATAAAGTCCACCCAGCAGTGACACTATTCACTGTAACACAACGTTTGACTGAACATATCACCTTTTATAACCCAAGTGCGATAATAACTACCTAAAAATGATAGATCTATCAGAATAATTAAATTACTTTTATCATAAAATTATAGAATGGCTTGTGTTGGAAGGGACTTTAAAGATCATCTAGTTCCAACCCCCTTGCCATGGGCAGGGGCACCTTTCACTAGACCAGGTTACTTACAGCCCCATCCAACCTGGCCTTAAACACACTCAGGGATGGGGCATCTGCAACTTCCCTGGGAAACATGTTCTAGTGCCTCCCTTCCCTCACAGTAAAGAATTTCTTCCTCGTATCGAAACTAAACCTACTCCTGTCAGTTTGAAGCCATTTCCCCTTGTTCTATCATACAGGCTCTTGTAAATAGTCTCTCTCCATCTTTCTTGTAGGCTCCCTTCAGGGATTGGAAGGCTGCAACTGGATTACCTTGAAGTCTTCTCTTCTCCAGGCTGAACAAACCCAATTCTCTCAACCTTTCCTTATCGGGGAGGTGCTCCATCCCTCTAATCATCTTGGTGACCCTCCTCTGGACTCACTCCAACAGGCTGATATTCTTCCTGTGCTTGGACCCCAGAGCTCAATGCAACATTCCAGGTGGGGTCTCACAAGAGCAGAGCAGCGGGTTAGAAAGAATAAATATAAAATGGTCAGAAGCTTATATTTTTCTCGTGTAGAGAGAAAAATTGACAATTAAAAACGGTGCAAACTTTTAATATCTTTTGAAAGTACTAGTTATATTGAAACAAAGCAAGAGGTTAGCCCCTTAAAAACACAAGGAAAATAATTTGGATCAAAAAAATCTGAGTAACACATCGGATACAGTTTATAAGGAAGAAAAAGAACATTGAAACTCTTCTGCTTACATTATACTTATGTGGGAGGGGGCTTAGACTAGGGAATTGGATTTTGGGGCTCTCAAACCATGACATTTTTGGTAGCAGAGGGTGCTTGCGATCCATCTAAATAAAAAGAGATAAAAACCATGATGCTTGTTATAACAGAAAGAGTTTTCCAGACAAAACACAGACTGTACCACTGTAGAGAAAGTAAGACTATAGTAATGTAAGTTAAGTACTAAGAGTAGAGTTAAGTTTGTGATAATGCTATATTGATGTGTAGTAGAGAGATTTTGATTATATTTTAGTTTATTGAAGATTGCATGTTGATTAGAGTTTATTAAATTTTTGTGATATGTTGATATTTCGCAAAAGCGGGAGGTGGAGAGTTGTAGTGGGAGGAAACAGTTTTCCCCCCTGAAGTTATAAAATGGTAAAACCCCAGGGGGTGGTGACCCTTGAAGTTTTGAAGTTTTACCCAATGAGCGCTTCTGCAAAATATAAACATATCACATTCAGAACGGAAGAGAAGGTAGTTGTAGTTTGTTGTTGAGGAAGTAGCCATGTTGTGAAAGCCACGAGCAGAAGGGGCAGGAGCCCCTGGGGGGGCTTTCCCCCCCAGCCCCAGCTGGGGGCTACAGAGACTTGGAACAGTGTAAGACTGAGCTAAGTGCCTGTAGCTGAAAACCAAAGGAGTTTTCTCCACCGTAAGTAGGCAGAAGGAGCAGCGGCAGAAACAGCACTGACTGGAGGCTATGGCAGAGAGCCAACAGATAAGAAAAGCAGCAGAGGTGGCTTGCAGCCAACCAAAGAAGACGCAGAGTTGTCTGAGAGAGCCGAGAACGAGAGCCAGCAACAGCAGAGAGAGCAGAACTAGCTCTGCAGAGACAGAGTTGGGGTAAGAACTGAAACAAAAAAAAAAAAAAAACAAACTCCTTGGAGACCCTTCATGTCCTAGAAAGGAGGGGTGAAGTGCAGGATGCACTACAGAGAGGAGCTGGAAAGCTCCGAGAAGAATGCGGAGGGTGACCTTGGCCCCCCCTGCTGCTTGAGACAAAGCACAGAGCTCTGTAGGGAACTTGAATCCTCTGAAGATAAAGACCCCTGCGCTTCGTGATATGACGTGGTGATAGCACCCTTTGTCCTGGGAAACGAAGCCCACGGAGGAAGACCCTCGTTTGAAGACGAGTGGCCGAGGGGGCTTGGATACCCCCTCGTGTGTACTGGCAGAGATCCAGCTACAACAATTCAGTTACAGCTGCTGCATAGAGACAGAGAGACCTACTGCCTTAGAGACACTGCTGCTCTGAAGAAGGGATCTTTCCTTCTTCCCTCCTGGACTTTTATTTGGAGGGGAGAAGAGATTTGATCCCTTGTAAATACTTATGTCATGGTAGAGATAGCTAAGACTGTATATAATGTATTGTAGTATTTATTTGTACAGTCATTGTAATATATATTCCCTTTCCCCCATTTTGAGTCTCATGTGGTTGTCTGGAAAAAACCATCTCACATTGGGTTGAGATATGGGAGGGGGCTTAGACTAGGGAATTGGATTTTGGGGCTCTCAAACCATGACAACTTACTTTTAAATTGTGTAGTTCATGCGTAAATCCTTCTCATTTCACATGGTTTCTAATTGTAAAGTAAATGGGAGAAAGCGACATGTTTTTCCTCGGATGTGGTATAACAGTAGAAGGCTTTAAGTTATATCCTATAAATCTGGAAAATGAGCCTTATGGTTGAGTTTTAATGCATTTCTCTGTAGCAAATACCTTCTTCGGGGTTAAGATTCTTTTTGGAAACTAGATTTCTGGGTACTTAAACTTGATCTTTTGAGAGAGAAGTTATGCAGTGAGTTGGCATCTTGTTCTTTTGAACTGGGGAGTGTCTTGCAGAACAACATGTGCTGTCAAGGCCAGCAGTGACAGGTGGGGGAATTTGAAGCAGTAGGAATGCACTGAAATGCCTCACTCTCTTCTTAAAGGCCTGTTCAGGGCTACTTTTAAAGGCTAGAGGAGCATGAAAACTCCCCTAGGAGGCTATCTCCAGGGTGATCAAATCTCTTTGTAAGATTTCCATTAAATACTTCTAAATAAATTTATTTGTAGTTCTTTGACCGTAGCTGTATTTTGAAATATTTTCCTTTGTACTCAAACTATTTTCCTTTCTGCTTCAATGTGTTATGTGGTACTTTGTATAATCCCCTGATCTTTTATTGTGTAATTAGTCTGCAGGTTGTTCTTAAGCTTAAAGATAAACCTGTTCTATAATGTTTCCCTTCTTCTATTCTATTATTTGCAAATCTTGGAAATAGTTATTGAGGCTAGAAAGAAGTGGTGGAACACGACCATCCGTGGAAACTCTCTCATGTAGCATCAGAGTTATCAAGGAGGCAGACGATGGATAACTCTGTTTTTCAAGTTGTGGGATTTTAGGTTTTATGACTTTGGCTGTGGATCCTGTTGCTGACTCTGAGCAAACTTAATCACTCTGTGCCTCCATAAAATGGTTATAATAATTCCTTGTTGCATCAAAGTTGTGATGCAAATGAAGCAGTGTTTCTAAGTGTGGGGTAGTGCGGCTGTGAGGTCAGGCAGTGAAAGCTGATCCAATTCCATCCTGATTTGCTGACAAAAAGTTACTTAACAGTAGTGTAACAATAGTCCTCCCCTTCCACTGCACGCCGCGGCCGGAGCGCGGGGTCTCTCCCCCCGCCCGCCGCACGCTGCGGCCGGGTGCATGGCCACCCCGGTGTGTGCCGTGGGCTTATGGCCCCCAGGGCAGCCCCCAGGCGTCCGCAGGGCTGCCCCCGGCAGGGAGAAAGGAGAGGGGGACCTTCACCAGCGAGGACTGCGCCCTCATGGGAGAGAAGAGGGAGAACCT